TAAACCAATGCTACTGAATTTCTGTCTTAAATCATTTGCTATAATCATCTATAGCAGGGTTTCTTGACCAGGGGGAAATTGCCCCTAGAAGGGATTTCAGGTGGGGGATGGGAAATTCTTTTACTTTTTTATTTACAGAATTTGGAGTCCATCATGAGTGTAAAAAAAACAAAAAAAAAAAAAACTCCCTTATAAAAATAATCCATGTAAATTTATATGTACTAATATAGAAAAGAATGAAAATTTCTAATAATGTGTGGATAGGTGGTAGGATTTTCTGGAAACTTTGGAATAAAATGAACTGGTTTAAGACTATAAAATAAATAATATATTTTTATTTATTTGCTTTAGGGTGAGAATTTTGATATTCGGTGTCACAAAAATGTTTGTTTATAATGTGGATATTGGTAGTAGCTTGGAGAAATTCCAGTAGTAGTAGTTTTGAAGTCAGACTGTGCCTTTGGGTAGTAATAATATTACAAATAGGTCAGTGTCAATCTACTGTTTTTCTTGGCCCTAATATCATTAACAGATGACCTCTTAAATACTTCTTCACGCATGGCTAGTTCCTCTTGCAGTCACATCTCTTTTCATCACTCTTGGCATCCTTTCTGCTTCTAAATCAGAGGTGTCAGCTCATATCCTTTTGACCAGGCTCTGAAACTCTGGTGCAAACAGTGATTTTTGCTAACATCAAAAGTCTCTATGTATTCGTTTTTTTTTTTTGATCGGCCAAAATTATTTTATTTTTGGGCATTCCTTTCTTTTTCATTTTTTTTCGGCCAGGATCAGTATTTTCTTTTTCTTCCTCTTTTTATTTGAGGGTTGCCCTCTCTTTAGTCAAGAGATGTATACAAAGGGAAGCTTTGAGAGAGAGGAAAAAAGAGATAAGGGTATCAAAGGAAAACACAAATGCCTTATTTTTTGTTTGAATTCTTTTTATTTTTATATTTTATTTTTAAGTGCTCCTTTTGAGTCAGACTATCTTGGAAAGGGGGAGGAATGATATTCTGACTTGTGGTGAAAAGTGTGCATTGGACTAAAAAGATTAAGAACCACTAGTCTATTATAAATCAATAACGTTGAATTTCTATAATAAATCATTTGCTATACTTTGTCTATAGTAAATTACTGCTAATTAAATTCTATAGTAATCATTTGCAAATTTTTCCTGTAGTAAATTATGTGTAATGTTTTTCACAAGTAAATTAGTGCCATTGAATTTCTAACATAAATTGTTTCCTCCTATTTTCTATAGCAAATGACTGTCAATGGATTCCTACAGCAATTCATTTTTAATACATTGCATCAATAAAAGATCTGAGCCATATATCTGGAGCTTTCTTAGCTTTTAACCCTTACAGATTCAAGTTAACACATATATTTTAATATCATCATATAGCAAATCATTTGCTATATTTTATTGACAGAATTTCTATAATAAAACAATAAATATAGTAAATGAATAGCAATTGATTTCTATAGTAAATTCATCATATTGCATTTCTCTTGTAAATCATTGTCAATAAATTTCTATAATAAAGTATTTACTATACTTTATTTATAGTAAATTTTAATGTATTTTCCTATCTTATCATCACTAGCTAATGAGAGCCATGTGTTTATTGTTTTCTTAACTTTTATCCTTAGAAACTCAGGTTAACATATGAGGGTTGGCTGAAAAGTTCATAGGCTGATCAAGATATAAATATAAGTAAACGCACCAATTGGTAAACTAAAAGACATGCAAAAGTAGCAGAATACAATAACTGGCCAACCAGCTGAGGAACATAGAAATTCAATAAGATTAAAGTATAAACAATTTTATGTGGTGACTATTTACCTGGTTTGCAGTTGCATTTACTATGGATCTCCTTATATTTATTTCTACCCTCCAAAGTCAAGTACCGTGTTTATGACTCTGACTACTCTTGTGATAAGTCCTTGTGAAAAAAAGTAATAAATTTGCCTCATCCCCACTATCCACACCACCTCCCACAGGCATTATCCCCAACATCTATCTTCTCTCCACCTTTATGACTTTCTTGGTTAATTAGAGCAACATTCACATACCTTAATTTCTCAGCTGTAAGGGATATGTCATTTATTTGGTTAGGATATGGATATTTTATTTCATTCACCAGACTTTTGACAGCATCAAAATCTTTTAAAATGAAAAGAAATATAAAAAATAAAAATAAATACAACAACAGCACAATGTTATCTACTCTGACCTTCATAATTCCACAGCAAGGTCAGATTAGCTATTTTGTTAAATTATAAGAGGTCATGGGTTGTGGAGGTGATGGGGTTAGATTATTTCCGTCTGAATTTTTGAAGTGACGAGTTTTGAATATTTACATGTTTTTCCAGTTGAACTAATGTCCTCATCATTGTTGTTATTATCACAACGTTTTGGCTGTTGTGTTCTTTAGCTTTCTTCAGATGTCTGTCACTCCAGGTAACCTTCAGGGGATTTTGAACTGAATCCTTTTATTTAATCTACTGCAGTAGTAATTGTTCCAGTTTTTCTGTGCATGTCTCGGGGTATTTCATCTTGTTCTTTATTTAGTGTTGAAACTTGACTAATGCATGGAATAATAATACGACACAAAATGTACTTAGAATAAAATGTATTGAAACAAGAAAGTATACACAATATTTACATATAGTCTTTTGGTATATTCTTGGGAAGACCATTCCTGGAGAATGGGTTGACTTAGTCGCAGTCGGGCAGAGTCTCTGGATTGGATCTCTTCTTCCTCACCCTTGTCTTCCCGGTACCAACCATATTTATATGGTCGGTACTCATTATGTAAATTAGGTGGATCCTACCACATCATTTAGTATTGCTTGGCTATTGCTTGCCCTATTATCAAGGAACCCAAGTCTGCACTGCCCTACCCAAGTATTGAATTCAGAATTTCTATACCGCTAAATTCAGGAACCAATGCTTTAATCCTCTCAGCTATGGTTTTGTTGGGGTTAGATTGTGTAGCAACAGTTTTGATCCACTTATTATACACCTACAGTGTTTCTAAAGATGATGGATTGATATAACCTCAAACAATTTGTAAAGGAGAATAAAACATTTGACCAAAAGAAAGTTGATCACCAGAACTTTTTCCAGGATGACAGATTGATGGAAGCACAAATAATAAATATAACTAGATTCTGTCATTGTTTGAGAGATTGATCCTAGTTTAACTTAGGGAATTATGGCCTGCATAAAACTACATTAGTGAACTAATCTGGTAAGTCTTTGATATAGAGTTTAATTGTGACTAAATGCTTCCCTATTTTAAAGGTCTTGTGCCAGATTAGTTTGAGATTAGTAAATGCATTTAAATGCACATTCTTTGGACTAATGGTAAGTAAACTTCTCATTACCAGCTCCAGTGATGGGTACCCCACCATAAAGCAATATGGGAGCAATATTATTATGACTATCAACTCTTGTTATGCTATTTAATGTCAAAATCTCTTTTCTATGAAACCTGAGATAAAAGGTAAATTTATTTTATATATATATATATATATATATATATGTTTTCAAGACACAGTGACTTGCTGATCCCAAGAGTTTTTGTCATATTTTTATCTGCCTAGATTTCTGAGATGAGGTACTATAATTATGTACACTATTTATATCATTGAGGCTGTTGTCCTCATCTTTATTGCTATATTCACAACATTTCAACTGTTGTACGCTCTGGTCTTCTTCACATGATATTTCTTGGAATTTTGAACTGAACGCTTTATTTAGTCCAAATGGCCAAGTGGATAAAAGCATTGGTTGAGCAATACAAAAAAGTGACTTGATCCAAAGAGTTGTGAGTTCAATACCTGGCCACAGTAGAGGGGACAAGTTGAGTTACTAAAAAGAATTAAAATATACTAAGATGGAATTAGAATAATCTACCAAGTAGATTAGATAAAAGGTTCAGTTCAAAATTCCAATGTATATCACTTGAAGAAGGTTAGAGTGTGTAATGTCCAAAACATTATGAATAAGAAAATAAAGATGAGGACAACAGTCTGAACAATGTAAATAATGTAAATAAACTAATTAGTATTTAGTACTATTTCTAAAGCAGTATAGGCACATATACAATACAACCATTTTTGTGCCACATTTTTATTATATTGTTGTGTTGGGGGGTAGTTTAATCTGTACTGCATCATATCCAAACAAAATCAAGTAGGTAGCATCAATGAGAAATTTCTGCCAGCATCTTTATAGTCATCTATTTCAGTTGTCATCTTTTTACAGTTAAAATGGCTGCTAGATGTAACTGTAAGTTCTATGCTAACAGTTTCTTCTTTCATGTGGAAATTGCTTTCTGCTTCTTGCTTTCCAGCCAACTTGGATCTTCAAAAATTTAAATGTAATGTCAATCATTATCTTCTGTCTTCTTAATTCCTCTTCTTTTATTATTCTCTCTCCTTAATAGTGTTTTTTTGGTCATTCTCTCTAACACTCAGTAATGCCTTGCATTTTAGTAGCTTTATTAACTTGCTTGGGGTAAAATGATTAAAAAAATAAAAATTGCAAATTCACATTTTTTCCTAAGATGTGCCAGCACAGCCAGGCAACAATGCTATAACATTGCAGCAAAGAAAAAGATATTTGTGTGAGCATCTACATACTTTTTTCTCTAACGTTGATTAACTGATACAAAGTGTTGGCCCATTTTTATATCATAAGATCAGAGAAAATGCAAATAAAAATAAATTTATGTTAGATAAAGCACATTAAATCAACTTCAAGTCAATCAACCACTCACTTGAAATCAAAGGTTAAGATGTTTTTGAAGTTTCTTGTGTGTACATGGCAGTTGTTGTTTCATCTTAAGACTGCTCACATTCTTTATTCTGACATGGATATGTTATGGGACAAGGCTTTGTTGCTTTTAAATTATCATTATGGATATTGTATTGAAAAGAAGCTTTGGAAAAAATTAAGCTTCTTTAATACATTTTGGAAATGCTGAATAGACTGCGATAGATAGATAGATAGATAGATAGATAGATAGATATGAATAGAATTAGATATATATATATAGATAGATAGATAGATAGATAGATAGATAGATAGATATATATGCACCAACATAGATATGCACATATATATATATATATATATATATATATATATATATATATATATATGAAGAAATATAGTCTGAAGGTGTGCTATATTTATGGGATAAAGTGCTCAATATCAGAGATTGAGCATGTGTAAATATAAAAGTGAACATAGAAGTCAACACTTAGAGGTGACAGTTTCATGCTAGATGCAATCATCAGTCTAGCATGAAACAGACTGTCGCCTCTAAGTGCTGACTTCTATGTTCACTTTTATATGTATATATATATATATATATATATACAGATAGTTAGATATGTACAGACATATATAGATAGATGTACACAGACATAGTTATGCACAGATGTAGAAAGATAGATAAATAGATATATACTGACAGATATATAAATTCACAGATATAGATAGATATGAACAGATTGAGATAGATAATTATGAACAAACATAGATACGCACGGACATAGATAGAGAGACAAATATGAACAAATTTAGATAGAGATATAAATAGATAGATATATGCAAACATAGATAGATAGATATATTGTAGAACCAAATTTCTACATTTCAGTGGATCAAAACCAATTACCATATTACTGTGAGTTTTACTACATCCTCATTGGATAACAAATATTAAAATATTTCTACTGTATATTTTTATGTGCTAGTTATAGATTTTTGTGCAAGTTAAACACAATGCAGGCTCCAGACTTAAGTCTTACAATAATGGTTTCTGATTGGTCAATATATCCCAAAGTCGTAACAATGCCTACTCAGAAGTATTTAAACCCAAAAGACTGCCAAAATCTTGAACCGTGTTCTCGAGCCTACCATGTGGTTCACATTACTTATAAATACTTGGCAGCATCTTCTCTTGATCTCTTTTACTCTTACTTATAAGCAATGTAAAGCTCTGAAGAATTTTGGGGTTTTTTCCCTTTCGGGAAAACGGTATAACACACATACACACACATGCACGTACATACAAACATTCACATTTTGAGTCATGCCCACACATGTTTTTTGCACTATTTTCAAACTGTTTAATTCTCTTACAAGTAACACTACATCTTACTAAAATTCTTCAAACTCACACACCTTTTAATACACTATATAAAAACAGGAACATTTTCCTCACTCATAATTCCAAGGTCTGGTAAATTTCAGTATTTCAAACACGACTGAATTCCTATTTTGTATAATTGTTGTTATTCATTTATAAATTTCATTTACTTGTGCAACTTCTCTTGTCGTTTCTTCTTGTTTCATATTTTGGGGTAATTTGCATAATATAAATTAGTTAAGGGTAATCTGGTGACACCTACAGACAACAACCTGTACAATAGGAACAGATTGAGATAGATAGATAGATAGATAGATAGATAGATAGATAGATAGATAGATAGATATGAATATCATGTGCACAATGGTGGCCTTCAATGGCTGCTTGATATTCTTTTGGTCACTTTCTTCTTGATGAGTCTGAGACACCAAGGAAGTCATTTCCAGGGTGGTAGGAGGTCAAATATCTGAAGTAATGTTATAAAATAAAATGACATATCTCGGCTGATTTACAGGCAAATACTCAAGAGCGAGAACCGGATGTGAACGGGACAAAGCCCCGTCACAAAATGACCATTAACATTCTTTACAAATGTTTCCGACACACGTGTTCCGGTCGTAAAATAAAATAATATTTAAAGTGCTCTATTTTTCGTCCAATAAAAATGCTTCCCTCCTAATTATACTCGCTTCGTTTCTCGAGCCTGTTAAGCCATAAAAAAAAACGCTATAAAAGGGGTCACAAGGAAGTTCAGCGGCAGTCAACAGGTGTCCCACTGAGCGACATCACTCGCTCACTTTCTGGTGCGACTGTTCGGTTCAACTCTCTTCCTACGGGCGGGGGTCCCGGAGGAGGCTACGCCGAAGGGCGGAGTCTCCTTCGGGGAGGTAAATCCGGCCCTGAACCCGTTTATACGGGTTCAAATGGGCTATTTTTTGGCCGAGCCTAATAGCTCGGGAATGCCTACGTTAAAAAGGCCTTGTGCCACATGACACCCTCGTGGGGGGGGGGGTGACTAAATATCGTCAACAGGTGGCCACAAAGGAGACCGGTCACGTTTAGCAGCTGTCAGCAGGGAGCGTCATCCACCGTCAACATGTGTGAACTACTATGAGAGATCGACCAGATGCGAAAGCCGGCTTATGAACTTTACCACACCAAGGTAGCTGTCCCAAACCCTCACGTTCCTGTTGAAATAAACCACGTAAATCTATTTCTACTGTTGTCGTATTTCTTTCTTGCAACCATACGCTTGTCTATAACACTGGTGTCAGAAGCGTACAGCAAGAGAAATATGGCCGACTACACGAGCTTCACCCGAGCCGAACTATTTACTCTCATCAAGGAACAGAAAACACTACTATTCAACTTGAAAACGGGACCAACACAGCCTTCCGAAGCCACGATACAGGAAATTCAAGCCGACATAAACGACATGCTGACTGCCCCTAAAATCAACTACTTCAACACCTCCCACCGCTCAAACAACCGGCGATTACAGCTTAATGATGCGCCAACAAACTATACGCGACACATTGAAGCTAGAAAAATTTTCACCCTGGACACGACGTGAACCGATTCATCACGGCTCTAAACAAAGCATACACAATCCACGTCACGCCAGAACTCAGCACCTATCCCAGCCTGGAATGCGAATTCGTCAAGTCTGCTAAAGATTTACTGGACCAAAGTATTTTTCAGCAAATGGTTGACTCAAAAAAGGATATATTCACCTTCGAACAACTGAAGGAATACTTATTAGGAGCCCACGGAAGCCAGATGACTAACTTCCAACACCCCAGTCAAGCCTGGGACCTGGAACTGCGAGACGGCAAAAAATTAACAGACTTCGCGGGTCGACTCGAAAACACCCTTAGAGAGGCAGCCGTCCACATAAAAGACAAATACAAAAAAAGACAAAAATGCTGACTTAACAGTCGATGGACTTATTTCCATCATCGGCGCTATGCTAATGAGCGAAAAGATGAAAATTTGGAACTCAAATCTCTACCCACATCTCGTCAAGACAATGGACAACCACTATTCAGCCATTGGCATAGCCTCCGAAGCTCAAATATACCTTGATCGCGGTGTAAAATCCAACGACACAACTTCGCACGACACTGTGTATTTCACACAGAAACCACAGCGGTCAAACCAAAGAAACGCGCCACTCCGACCCAGCAGGCAACCAAACCCACAGCAGACGGGCCTCACCAACCCTCCCGAACATGGCCACCATCCGACACGCAGAAAACATCAGCATACACCACGAATCAGCGTGTGCAAGAACTACCTCAGAGGTCGCCCCTGCCACCATGGACGCACCTGCATATATCGCCACCCACCTCGCACTCGGGCACAGGCCCATATCGCCGCAACGAATGATAATATACAACCCATAAATGATGTGGAACAGGATTTTCGCTTCGCAGGACGAGATGTGATGCCTCGTTCGCCATGCCCCCTACGTCAGCCATCACACCTTCAACTTTCAAGGACTCGCTCACCATTCACCGCTCGTCCAGTCCACCTTCAACTTCAGGGACATCACCTTCTCAGGCGTAGCAATGCTAGACTCTGGATGCTCCACCTGCATCGTACCAATATCTCGGTTACCTAGAGAAGCCAAGAAACTCATGACCCGCTCCGACGTCGTAGTAAAAGGAATCAACGGCAGCACCACCGCCCTCGGCGAACTGACTTGCGACATCACCATCGGCAGCCAAGACTCACCCACATTCAGAAAGGTTAACGTGCTGGTAACTACCCAAATCACACCAATCCTGATCGGCCAAAATATCCTACGTCACAACACGCTCGATTCCTATCTAATCGACAACCAAAATGCGACTATAGAATTCAGGTGCACACTTTCCTCAGGATATACAACACACACAGCCGCAATCATATCACCGTCATCGTCACCCAACGATCCAGCATATGGCGCCCAAGCTGACATCATCCAAAACCAGCCTACTATGGAACTACAACCCAACATCCAGACACTGGATCAAAAGCTAACCTGGCTAAAACATAACACGGGACTATCGCTACCAAACCACCCGAACCGAGACGAACTAGAGGCCACTGCAAACTTACTCATTCGCTACGCTGACATTATCGGCACCGAAAGCAGCAGCAAAGGTACATTCATCCGACCCATCCGCATACCAACCAACGGCCAGTCTCGCAGCCAGAAACAACACCCGATCGCCCAGGCTTTGGAAGCAGACGTAGATACCGAAATTAAGCGTATGGCTGATGAAGGTATCATTGAAAACTGCAGCGACCCCAAAGGCTTCAATAGCCCTGTATTTGCCGTACGCAAGAAAAACGGATCGATTCGTGTCGTTGCTAACTTTAAAAGAACTCTCAACAAGGTCTTAGTCGATCTTGACCCTTACCCAATGCCAAGGATCGACCACTTGTTCAACAAAATCGGCAAAGGCAATAGATATTTTACTACCCTCGATCTACGCAGCGGCTACTGGCAAATTGAGATCGACAAGCGAGACCGATACAAAACAGCATTTACATGGAAGGACCAATGCTATCAATACACGTGCCTGGCCTTCGGCCTTACATCTGCCGGACAAATCTTCTCCCGTTGCATAGCAGAAGCACTAGCCACGGTCACATCCCATGACAACATTTCCTCCTATATCGACGACAACCTGGTCCATGCTAGGACATTTAGGGAGTACATACTCTCCCTCGAACAATTTTTTACTGCCCTCCGAAAATTCGGACTCAAGCTGAATCCCGATAAATGTTCCTTCCTCGCACCAGAGGCAAAATTCCTCGGACGCATAGTAAACAGCGAAGGATTCAAGGCTGATCCAGAATACGTTCGTGCCATCCAGGAAATGAAACCTCCAACATCAAAAAAGGAATTACAAAGCCTTATCGGCCGTTTAGTGTGGATCAGACAATTCCTAGAGACACG